AAATATACCCCAGCATGTTAGGGCATCTGACCTGGCTGCTGCCAACTCAGAGCTCATATTTGAAACTCATATGTGCTTTCTCTGTCCAGATATCCAAGGCATCTCTCTCCCTGCTGGCACTGACCAGAGCTTCTCACTGAGATTCGGGTACTTCCTGCTTGCTGTCTCTTTAACCAAAGAGGTTCCTCTCATCCCCTCAAGAAGAATTAACAGATGCTGATCACTGAAGTACACCAGTGGTAAGGGATAAGACGGGGTCAATGTTGTCCACCATGTTTTGTCTCTCTTTACACAGATGCACAAGTGATCAACCTACAATTTTGTGTTGTTGTTGTTGGAGTCTCACTCTGTAGCCCAGACTGGAGTGCAATGGCTCACTCATGGTCACTCCAGCAACCACCTGCTGGACCCAGGCAAGCCTTACGCCTCAGCCTTCCAAGTAGCTGAAATTACAGGCAGGTGCTACCATGCCTGGCTAATTTTTTGGTTTATTGTAGAGATGAGGTTTCGTGAAGTTGCCCAAGCTGGTCTTGAACCTATGGGATCAGGCAATCCTCTCACCCAAAGTGCTGGAATTACAGGCTTGAGCCACGGCCCCTGGTCTCAACCTGCAATTTTAATGTGACCATGACATTCTCCTATGTGAAGCTTTCAGTGGCTCCCCAGCTCCTACTAAGTAAGGATAGATTATTTATTCTGTCATATAAAACCCAAATTATATCTCACTTTAATTCTACTCACAACCTATGCCACAGATATTCTGAATCTTCTCCCTGCTCATGCCAGGCTGCTTCAGGTCTTCACACTTTTGCTCCAACATTTTCCTCTGCTAAGTGTCCCTCCGTGTCTATTCATCTTTCAAAAAGGAGCACAAAGTTTACCCACACTATGTAATTTTCCTAGCCATTGCCTCTAACCTCACTAAAACCATTGGCAAACATAACTACAGCCTTCTTTATGATCCTGCTCTGACCTGTAGTTAATATATTCCTCACACCATTCTTGAGAGTGAGATATAACTAATTTTTGTTTCCTCAGTAAATATGTGTGTATATAGTCATTGATTATCTTGAAAACAGGTTTTATGGAAGTGGAGGAGGAGGGGACTCCTGCTGCACTAAATTCATGAAGTAAAGTCAAAACAATGAATATTAAGTAATCTTTGAAGGATTCTGGCTTAGAAGGGATGGTGGAAATAGAAAGGATGTGGATAAAATGTATAAGATGTATTATGTATAATCACAATATATTTTTTATGTAGTGAGGCTTTGCTCTCCCAAAAGAGACATCAGTCATGCTAGAATGAGATATGAGAATAAATCTTGGATGAGAGAGAGAGAGGAAAAGTCTAGATTCAGAGTGGGGAGAAAGCAAGTTTTCAGGAACAACATAGGACTAAGAGTGAAGACCCTCTAAACTCAATCCTGTTGGAAGAGAGTTATGCCACATGAGATGACTTAAAGAGTCAGGTCAGTGAGGAGCTGTGGCAATGGCATCCCAGGCTAGGTGGCTGTGGAAATCAGCATGGCCATGGCAGTGAGGGGAGAAAATTTCCTGTCTACATCTACACAGTAAGAGATAGCGACCAAGTGGATGGAGGAAACTTGCCCAGGCACTGATGCAGAGATGGCAAAAAAAAAAAGTCTTCTGGACGACCAGTGACATCCTGTAGCCAAAGAACACAAGACTCATACCAAAGATAAATTTCCAGATTTTTCCTTGAAGAGAATGTTGCAATTATACTGACCTCTGGGAATGAATAAGCCCCTGGGTCCTTGAACTTACCACAGGAGGAGGACAGTGGTGGTAATAATAACATCTTCACAGTAGCTACATGGAGACTCTTGAAATTTAACTCAAATAGTAAAAGCTGCCGGGTACAGTGGTTCACACCTGTAATTCCAACACTTTGGAAGGCTGAGGCTTGCCTGAGCCCAGGGGTTCGAGACCAGCCTAGGCAACATGGCAAGACCTTGTCTCTACAATGAATCAAAAAATTAGCTGGGCATGGTGGCGTGCGGCTGTGGTTCCAGCTACTTGGAAGGCTGAGGCGGAAGGATCACCTGAACCCAGTAGGTTGAGGCTGTGGTAGCTGTGAATGTGCCAGTGCACTCCAGCCTGGGTGACAGAGTGAGACTCCAACTCAAAAAAACTGTTAATAAAAATAAAAGCTGCCATCTTATTTTATACTACAAGGTTTCGTAATGCCTCCTAGCAATGGGAGTAATCACAGCCTTGAATTCTTCTGTCCTTCATTATACTTCTGTAAAGAAGTAATATTTTTACATATTTTGATGTGCCCTTCTATTTGCATGTCTGTGAACAAGACCTATCCCTGGCCGCTTAAAGTATCAATATGCTTGGAAGAAGGGGAAGGGTGGTAGTGTGGCAAAGAAGAAAGATTAGAATGGCAATGTTACAGTAGAAATAAACAAGAAAGAAAGAAAGAATGATTATTCAGTTTGTGGTGGCCAAAATAGATTTTCATATCTGCAGCAAGACCATCAGCTTGAAAGTCAGGACTTGTCATAAGAGGAAAAAAAATTTCTAAATTAATTTATCTCCCATTGCAATACATCAAGCCTGGCTTGGTAGACTTGGCTGCAGAATGTATATACTGAAGGCTCCACACAGAATTAAGTGAAAGCAGGAAAATCTCATCCCTGTAAATTTGGGAGGATTATGCAGAAAAGAAGGGAAGTAGAGGTAGACCAAGGAGGTCAAATGCTAGAGTTCATGTTTTTCCCAACTTGAAACCAAGCGTTAAGATAAATGGGCCATGCCGCTGCCTGCAGGCACCCGGTAGGCGCCCTGCCCCCCGCCAAGATGCCCAAGAGGAAGGTCAGCTCCACCAAGGGAGCGGCGAAGGAGGAGCCCAAGAGGAGATCAGCGCGGTTGTCGGCTAAACCTGCTCCTGCAAAAGTGGAAGCAAAGCCAAAAAAAGGCGGTGGGAAAGGATAAATCTTCAGACAAAAAAAGTGCAAGCAAAAGGGAAAAGGGGAGCGAAGGGAAAGCAGGCTGAAGTGGCTAACCATGAAACTAAAGAAGAATTACCTGCAGAAAATGGAGAACCTAAAACCGAGGAGAATCCAGCCTCTGATGAAGCAGGAGAGAAAGAAGCCAAGCCTGAAGAGTATCATATCCCATGTCTTATCAGTGGTCCCTGTCACCCTTCTTGTACAATCCATTATCAACTATTTTGTACACGCAAGTTTTTTAGTAGCTCTAGAAACATTTTTAAGAAGGAGGGAATCCCACCTCATCCCATTTTTCAAGGGTAAATGCTTTTTTTTAAAGAGGTGAAATCATTTGCTCGTTGTTTATTTTTTTTTTGGTACAACCAGAAAATAGTGTGGGATATTGAATTACAGGAGGTGTTGACTGTCTTGAGTATCAGCTTAACATTCCATTGATGGGGGGTTAGTTTTTATATCCTGTAATGCAAAGTATACTAAGTGGCAATATGGATTACAGTCCTGCATTTAATGTCTTGAACATTTAAAATTACTTCTATTCCCATGTTGTTTTTTAGTAGAATTGTTTCCTAAAGAAAACCACTCCTTGATCATGGCTCTCCCTGTCAGAATTGTGTGCACTCTGTAACATCTTTGGTCATGGTAGTCTTGTTTTCCTGATAACTTTGTTAATGTGTTGTAAAAGATTGAAAAATTGAGTATGTTGGGTATATGATAAATTGTGAATTGGTGGGATGTATGTAACAGCTTATCAACATTTGAAGATACTGGTACTTGATATCCTCTTAAGAAAAATTTGCCTCCAAATTTTAAGCTGGAAAGTCACTGGAATAACTTTTCAAAAATAATAATACATGGCTTTTTCGATTTTCGGTACATATGTTAAGAACTGTGTACAAATTGAAATGTCTGTGTACTGATCCTCAACACAACCAATAAACTCAATTATGAAAGAAAAAAAAAGATAAATGGGAGCCTTGCAAAATGTAGGAAAACCAAAGGTCACCAGAGATAGTAGCATGGTTTTTTGTTTGTTTGTTTTTTGTTTTGGGGGGAGTATTTTGTTTTGTTTTTGCTTTTTGAGTCAGGGTCTCACTCTGTTACCCAGGCTGGAGCAGAGTCATGCTCACCTCAGTCTTGACCTCCTGGGCTCAGGTGATCCTTCCGCCTCAGCATCCTGAGTAGCTGAGACAATGGGGGCACACCACCATGCCCAGCTAACTTTTTTTTAACTTTTTGGAGAGATAAGATCTCAGCTGCGCTGAGTCTCAAATTCTTGGGCGCAAGTGATCCTCCTTCATTATACTTCTGTAAAGAAGTAATATTTTTACATATTTTGATGTGTGCTTCTATTTGGATGTCTGTGAGCAAGACCTATCCCTAGCCACTTAAAGTATCAATATGCTTGAAAGAAGGAGAAGGGAGGTAGTATGGCAAAGAGGAAAGATTAGAATAGCAATGTAGAAATAAACAAGAAAGAAAGAATGATTATTCAGTTTCTGGTGGCCAAAATAGGTTTTTATATCTGCAGCAAGACCATCCACTTGAAAGTCAGGTCTTGTCATAAGCAGGAAAAAATTTCTAAATTAATTTATCTTCCATTGCAATATTTGGCCTCCCAAAGTGCTAAGATTACAGAAATGAGCCATGGCACCCGAACAGAATAGTAGCATGTTTCTGTGGGCATGACATGGAGAGGCTGCAGATCCTTAAGATAACTGGCTGTCAGCTCATGACACAAGGGAGCGTGATTATATGAATCTGGTTTTCCAGTGCCTAGAGACAAGGAAGTCAGAGGTGCCTATATGTTTTGCCAAGGAAGACTGGGAAGTGTATGGAATGGTAATGCAACAATACAAGGCTGGAGTCAAAACCCAGTCTATACAGCGTGCATGACTTATAGAAAGAACAGGAACTACAGATTCCAGTCAGTGGTATGCTGGTAAATGTTTACAAACTGGTTCTCAAAAAAAATTTTTTTTTGGCTTTGCAGATCCCGCCACCTTGAGCCTTTTCCCATCAGCCATGGTCAACCCCACTGTGTTCTTCAACATTGCCATCGACAGCGAGACCTTGGGCCACGTCTCCTTCAAGCTGTTTGCAGACGAAGTTCCAAAGACAGCAGAAAACTTTCATGCTCTGAGCACTAAAGAGAAAGGATTTGATTATAAGGGTTCCTGCTTTCACAGAGTTATTCCAGGGTTTATGTGCCAGGGTGGTGTCTATACACGCCATAATGGCACTGGCGGCAAGTCCATGTATGGGGAGAAATTTGATGATGCGAACTTCATCTTGAAGCATACAGGTCCCAGCATCTTGTCCATGGCAAATGCTGGACCCAACACAAACGGTTCCAGATTTTTCATATTCACTACTAAGACTGAATGGTTGGATGGCAAGCATGTGGTTTTTGGCAAGGTAAAAGAGGGCATGAATGTTGTACAAGCCATGGAGAACTTTGGGTCCAAGAATGTCAAGACCAACAAGAAGACCACCATTGCTGACTGTGGACTACTCTAATAAATTTGACTTGTTTTATCTTTTTTTTTTTTTTTTTTTTTTTTTGAGTTGGAGTCTCACTCGGTCGCCCAGACTGGAGTGCCATGGCCGCTCTCGCCACCGCAGCCTCGACCTGCTGGGCTCTGGCGATCCTTCCGCCTCAGCCTTCCAAGTAGCCGGAATTACAGGCATGCGCTACCACTCCCAGCTGATTCTTTGATTTATTGTAAAGACGAGGTCTCCCTGCCCAGGCAAGTCTCACACCCGCGGGCTCAGGCAATCCACTCACCTCAGCCTCCCAAAGGCGCGGGATTACAGGCTCAGCCACCAAGCCCGGCTGTTTTCTTATCTTTCAAATATTGGTCTTTTTTTTTTTTTTGAGTTGGAGTCTCACTCCGTCACCCAGACTGGAGTGCAGTGGCCGCTCCCGGTCACCGCAGCCTCGACCTGCTGGGCTCCGGCGATCCTTTTGCCTCAGCCTTCCGAGTAACTGGAACTACAGGCATGCGCTACCAGCCCAGCTAATTTTTTTATTTATTGTAGAGATGAGGTCTCACCAAGTTGCCCAGGTGGGTCTCGAACCGGCGGGCTCAGGCAATCCACTCACCTCAGCCTCCCAAAGGCGAGAGATTACAAGCTGAGCCACCGAGCCCGGCTAACTTGTTTTATTTTAAACTACCAGATCATTTCTTCTATAGCTCAGGAGAGCACCCCCTGCATCCCATTTCCTCGCAGTATCCCTATAATCTTTGTGCTCTCACTACAATTCTTTGGGTTCCATATTTTCCTTATTCCCTTCCACATCTAGTTGGAATGCAGAGAAATAAAAACTAAATTTAAAAAAAAATTTTAATATTTTGTTTTATTTTATATATATACATATTTTTTTTTTAGTCTCACTCTATTGCCCAGACTGAAGGGCAGTGGCATGCTCATGGTCACCTCAGTCTAGACTTGTTGGGCTCAGGTGAGCCTTCCACCTCAGCCTTCCAAGTAGCTGGACCCACAGGCACGCACCACCAAACCCAGCTAATTTTTGGATTTATTGTAGAGACAAGGTCTTGCCACGTTGCCCAGGCTGATCTCCAACCCTGAGTTCAGGCAGGCAGTCCTCTCACCTCTGCTTCCCAAAGCGCTGGGATTACAGGCATGAGCCACCACACCTGGCTCAAAAAACTTTTTAAAGCCCTGATGTGTGTTCTTTGCCAATTTTATGGTGTAAATGCTTCCACCATGGGTCAGTTTCAAGCTCAGACATGACATCAATGCACCTACACTATTATATAGTATTTCTACCATAAAGATATGATAGATGTGAGTCACCTCATCGATATTAGTAAAAAATAAAATAAGTAGAAAGTGATGAGTTTTTAGTATTAGTACATATGTTTTGAAATAATTTATTTAATTCAAAATGTCTATTTAGTTGCAAATTTATATTTTAATTGCAAGTTTAACAAAGAACTCACAAAATTTCTGACATGTTAACAATCAGCTATTTATTATAAGCCAGTACAAACCAACTCCGGGAAAAACCATGGGTGAGAGTAAGTCACACCAAACATCTAGATGGCACTATCTTCACCTGTTTGGTTCAAGGAGCCTATCAGACTTACCATATCCCTACAAAAAAAGAACAAAAATACAAGGAGCATTCCAACAATTTGAAGCCAAGATGAGATCTCCTTCTCCATCGCAATAGGAACAATGGAGTCACCCAAGACTTCTTTAGATTCTCTGGCAAATTTGTGCTGTTGTTATTGTTATTTGAGATGGAATCTCATCATGAAACCCAGGCTGGTCTTGAACTCTGTGGCTCAATCAATCCTGCTGTCTCAGCCTCCCAAGTAGTCACTAAACTCAGCTCAAGAATTTTTAAACTGGAGGTAATTAATTAAATGCGCTCAGTTGGCCTAAGTTAGGATTTATTTTCTCTCGGTGTCCAGAGAGATGGGACTATGTAAGAAAGATTAGCTCGATTTTTGAAAACTAAGTACATTTTTAATGTCCTTCTGAATACGAGGGGGGATCCAAAAAACAAAAGGAATTATTTTTTGGAGGGCAGGCCCCTTGTAGTACAGGCTTTCCCCACTAGGTAAATGCTATAGCATCAGTGTACCAGCTAGCATTGTTGCGAGAGACTGCGTTTGGCATCAGTGAATTTTTTCTTTTTTCTTTTTTTTTTTTTTTTGGTGATTCCTTCAACGCATCTGCCCATTCCATGATGTGTGATTTACGAGCACACCTGCCCGCCCCGCACTGAGTGTTCAGCAGTTTTTGACCAAAAATGGCATTGAACCCCAAGACCCACCCTTCCTATTCACCCAATTTTGCCCCAAGTGACTTTTTTGTTTATTTGTTTCCCTGGATGAAAACATTCTTCAAAGGGAAACATTATGCCAATGTGGAAGAGGTGAAACAAAAAACGGCAAAAGCACTAAAAAGGCATCAAAACTGATGAGTTCAAAGACTTTTGAACAGTGAAAAAGCATCTCGATAGGTGTATTGTTTCAAACAGAATACTTTGATGGTGACTGAATTTTAAATATGTAAGAATAGGCCGGCCTCAGTGGCTCAGCCTGTAATCCCAGCGCTTTGGGAGGCCGAGGTGAGTGGATTGCCTGAGCCTGAGGGTTCGAGGCCCACCTGGGCAACTTGGCAAGACCTCATCTCTACAATAAATCAAAAATTAGCCGGGCGTAGTAGCACGAGCCTATAGTTCCGGCTACTTGGAGGGCTGAGGAGGAAGGATCACTGGAGCCCAGCAGGTCGAGGCTGTGGCAGCCGGGAGCGTGCCACTGCTTTCCAGTCTGGGCGACAGAGTGAGACCCCAATACACACACAAAAAAAAGAGTGAGACTCCAATACACATACACACACACACAAATACACAATTTTTAAAAAATAAATCCCAGTTTTTGAGGGAACCCTCCTCATATAATCTGGGTAAATGTGTGACCTTCACAACACTGCAAAGAAGGAACTCACAGAAGTTAGAGGTCATTGGAACAAATCATGTTGTTCTTCACAACTCACTTTCTAGATATGCAGATATGATTCCTGCTGGCTGTCAAAACAAAAAATAATGAGTATCCGGGGAGTGTAGGTCTCAAGTGGGAAATGTTTAGGGTAGAACTCCCAAGAGGTGAATAATTTTCTTCAAATCTCTTGACAGTGTTTGTAAAAACTGGATCAAAGGAGATCTAGCTAATAATGTAACCAATTCAAGATTCTAAGTAGAGAAGTCAGACTCTGTAACAGACCTCTAAGGCCAGAGGTTTTCAACAACTCTTAAATCAGTCAATGAGCTGATTCTCTGGAAGACTTTAATTCCACTCCAAAACAGAATCAGTAACCCATCACCTATCACCACAAACCAAAGGAATGTTCTGAAGGATGCTTTCCTTACCTGCACGACCATTCTGCCTGAGAACAGACCAACCTTCTCCAAGATTCTACTGCTGCATCCATGTGAGTCCAAGAAGAAAATCATTTCTAAAGCTGAGTCAATTCACAATAAGATCAAGTGCTTAATTTCTATACTTTGAAAATTTTGGTAATTTTGTCCAAAACAATATTTAATCTGTCTCTTTCGCCCATCTTCTTCCTCAACTCACCCTCTACTCCCAAATCTAATTAGTCAGGCATATGAATTTTGAAGTAAATTGGCCTTTCTCCAGATTTGAGAATTTTCTTCTTTGAATTGAGAAAAAGAATTTTAAACATTTATCCTTTATCTTATTTCCTCTGTTTTGGGGGAGGTGATAAAACAATACAGATTCAGTGTTACTGTATAAACACAGTGAGAGATGGATTCTTTAACTCTTCTTTTCCCAGAACACAATTAGTCAACCTACTTGAAGATTGGAAGGCCTTGTTTCAAGTACCTTGTCTTAAGCAAGCTTTCTTCATTTAAGTTAGACTGCAAGGACACTGACAGGATAATCAGAGCAAGAAAATATGGGATTTGCCTCCCCACTGCATCCAAATTCTGCTCATCCTCCTTGCACCGCCTCTCTGCTCAGGCTGCCTGATAATCTAAAAAGGCTGTGGTCTGAGTCTGGCCCTAAAGGCAAACAAGATTGAACAACCCAACACTGGGTTATTCCTCATCTTTCAACTTTAGTGATTCCTATCTGTTCTAAATGAGGATGGCGCCAATTCAAAGGTGCCCTGTACAAAACTCCAGCGCCATGTAGACATGCCAGAAAGAGGCTAAACTCTCTCTGGGATAATCTGATTTTTTTCAAAGTAAGAAAAGGCACTGCCTGCAAAGGGCTCAAAGAAGTGACTTGGTCTCCTGGTGGAGGGGAGCACAGCAAGCAGTCCAGCCTATTATTCCCATATAACCCTAGCTCGTCCCTGCCCTACCATGCTCTCTCAATGCTACCCTCATTCACTCCATCCCTAGGAGTTCCTCCCTTGAATTTCCAGACCAAAGCCCCTGCACCTGATGAATTGTGGTTTTGAATGCTGAATCTGTCAGTGGTAGATTATTTTATTTAAGCATATACTTTTGATATTAAATTACAAACATTTCATAAAACGAACTCGGCAGTGGCTAATGCCTGTAATCCCATTTTGCAAGGATGAGGTGGGAGCATCGCCTGAGGCCAAGGGTTCAAGACTCACCTGGGCAAGAAAGTGAGACCACACATCTCTACAAAAAATAGAAAGATCAGCCAGAAGTCCTAGTGCAGGTCTGTAGTCCCAGTTACTAAGGAGACTTAAGCAGGAGACTCGCTTCAGTCCAGGAGTTCAAGACTCTGTCTCATATAAATAAATAAATAATGATCTTAGCAATACTAAACACTATTTAAAACTGGAAATTTAGCCGGGCTCGGTGGCTCAGCCTGTAATCCCAGTGCTTTGGGAGGCTGAAGTGAGTGGATTGCCTGAGCCCGCGGGTTCAAGACCCACCTGGGCAACTTGGTGAGACCTCATCTCTACGATAAATCAAAAAATTAGCTGGGCGTGGTAGCGCGTGCCTGTAGTTATGGCTACTCGGAAGGCTGAGGCGG